AGCAGTAACTTTCCTTTGCTCCCCAACTCTTACTCTATCCATTAGCAGCCACTTGTCATATCTCTAACACTCCCACCCCGCCAATGCTAGGCAGCCATCCATTGACTTTCTATTTCTATAGATTTGCCTATTCTGGACATTTCATATAAAAGGTATCTTATCTTAATATATAGCCTTTGTGTCTGGCTTTTTTTACTTAGCATAATGTTATCTAGGTTCATCCATGTTGTAGCATGTATTCATACTTTCTTCCTTTTTATGACTGAATATTCCATTCTATGAATATGCCATATTTTATTTAATAATTCTTCAGTTGTTGGACAGTTGTATTGTTTCTACTTTTTGGCTGCTATGGATAATGCCTCCATGAACATCTGTGTAAAGATTTTTGTGTGGATATATGTTTTCATTTCTCTTGGAATACCTAGGAATAGAATTGCTGGGTCACAACTCTGACCATTTGAGGAACTGTCAGACTGTGTTCCAAAATGATTGCAGCATTTTATATTCACATCAACAATATATAAGGGTTCCAGTTTCTTCACTAACTCTTACTCTTACTAACATCCTTACTAACTCTTGTTATTATCTGCCTTTTTGATTATAGCCATCCTAGTGGGATCTCATTGTGATTTTTATCTGCTTTTTCATAATGACAGTGGTGTTGAACATCTTTTCATGTCCTTGTTGGCCATTTGTATATCTTCATTGGAGGAATCCCTATTCAAATCCTTTGCCACTTTTTGATTAGTTTCTTTGTCTTTTTATTATGGAGTTGCAGACTTCTTTATATATTCTATATACAAGTCCCTTATCAGATATATAATTTGCAAATATTTTTCTCCCATTTTGGAGTTGTCTTTTCACTTTCTTCATGACTTCCTTTGAAGCAGAAACATTTTAATTTTGAAAAAGTCCAAGTTATCTTTTTTCTTTGGTTGCTTGTACTTTTAGTATCATATCTAAGAAACTATTGCCTAATCCATGGTCATGTAGATTTATACCTATGTTTTCTTCTAAGATCAGTTTATTTTTTAATTTGTTGGAAGGGAAAATGTAGATAATTTTTAAATGTACACCTAGTTTGAAATGTTGCCAGAAATTGAGGTAGAGATATCAACAAGAATTTGAAAATTTATATAGAAATTTAGAGAGAAAATCGGGTCAAAGTTAGAGTTTTGGTTGCACCTTACATAAAGGTGATAGTTGAAGCTATTAAAGACATGGATGAAATAACCAAGGGAGAAATTGTAGATAAGGGTGTGTGTGTGTGTGTGTGTGTGTGTGTGTGTGTGTGTGTGTGTGTGTGTGTGTGTAAATGTGAATTGAGTGACCAAGCCAGTGATAGAAATTTGAGGAAACACACATTTGGCAGTAGAAGAACAAATGGTCAATGAGAAAATCTGAGCAGTCAGGGAGGCAGAAGACCACAGTGGAACAATGCTGTAAAAGCCAAGGCAGAAGATAATTTTAAGCTTTACTCCTGGGTGTTAAATACTCTATGGTGAAGAAAATGAAACTGAAATAAAGCTACTCAGTTTGTTTTGTGGGACACTATAATGATAACTTTCAGAAAAGCAGTTTCAAGATAATCACTGGAGGACAACACCAGATTACAAGAAATTAAAGAGTGAGTGGAAAGTAAGGAAGGCAGAAACCAGATTGTGAGGAAATATCAAGTGTAGAGTATTTTTAAAGATACATGATTCTGAAATGTAAATGTTATTATAAATCTTTGTGCTTTTAAATATGAAAAATTGATGTATAGCTGAAAAACAGGTGCATAAATAGCCAAATTAAAGGAAAAGAAGGGTTATCCTGGTCACCAAATCTGTACCTCTTTTTTTATTTGAACAGAGAATTATTTATTTTTTAAACCACTTTATTGATGTACGATTGACATACAAAAAACTGTACATGTTTATTGTGTAGAAGTTGTTGAGTTTGGAGATAAATATACACCTATGAAACCATCACCATAATCTATGCCATAAACATATCCATCATCTCCAACAGTTTCCCAACTTCTTTATTGTTAATACTGTTTTTGATAAGAAACCTAAAATCTACCATCTTAGCAAATTTTAAGTATACAATAAATACAATATTATTTATTCTAGACACTATGCTGTACAATAGATCTCTAGGATTTACTTATCTTGTATAACTGAAAGTTTGTACCCTTTGACTATACCTCTCAGTTTCCTCCTTACCCCAGCCCCGGGCAACCACCATTACATTATGCTTCTAGGAGTTCGACCGCTTTGACACCTCATATAAGTGGAGTCATGTAGTATTTGTCCTTCTGTGTCTGGCTTATTTCACTTTGCGAAATGTCCCCCAAGTTCATCCATGTTGTTGAAAATGGCAGGATTTTTTTCCTTTTTTAAGTTGAATAATATTCTATTATATGTACATATATTTATTTATCCATTCATCCATCGATGGATATTTAAGTTGCTTCTCCTCCTTCGCTATTGTGAATAATGCTGCAATGAACATGGGAGTGCAGATGTCTCTTAAAGATCCTGATTTCAATTCTTTTGCATAAATACTCAGAATTTGGATTGCTAGATCATATAGTAGTCCTATTTTCAATTTCTTGATGAACCTCCATACAGTTTTTCATAGTGGCTGCACCAATTGACATTCCCACCAACAGTCCACAAGGATTCCCTTTTCTCCACTTCCTTACCAACACTTTTAAGCTTTTTCCTTTTGATAATAAAGCATCCTAACAGATGTGAGGTGATATATTATGAGGTTGGTTTACATTTCTTGATGATTGGTGATATTGAGCACCTTTTCACATACCTATTGGCTATTTGTATATCTTCTTTGGAGAAGTGTCTATTCAGTTCCTTTGACATTTTTAAAATCTGATTTTTGGGGGTATTTTACTGTTGAGTTGTAGGGGTTCCTTATATATTTCGGATATTAACCTTTTCAGATATATGGTTTGCAGATATTTTCTCATATTGTGTAGGTTGCCTTTTCATTTTGTTTCCTTTATTGTGCAGAAGCATTTAGTTTGGTATAATTCCGCTCATTTATTTTTACTTTTGTTGCTTGTGCTTTTGGTGTCATATCTAATAAATACTTGCCAAGGCCAATGTAGGAAGCTTTTCCCCCATGTTCTCTTTTAGGAGTTTTATTGTTTGAGGTCTTACATTTAAGCCTTTAATTAATTTTGAGTTGATTTTTGTCTGTGGTATAAGATAGAGGTCCAGTTTCATTCTTTTTTATGTGGCAATCCAGTTTTCTCAATACCATTTTTAAAGAGACTATCCTTTTCCCATTGTGTATTCTTGGTACCCTTAGCACCCTCAGTTGACCGTATATAAATGGATTTATTTTGGTGTTCTCTATTCCATTGGTCTGTGTGTCCATTTTTATGCCAATACCATACTGTTTTGATTACTGTAGCTTTGTAATATATTTATTTTGAAATTAGGAAGTGTGATGCCTCCGGTTTTGTTCTTCGTACTCAAATTGCTTTGGCTATTCAGATTTTTTTGTGAATTTTATGATTTTTTTTCTATTTCTGTGAAAAAAAAATGCCATTGGAATTTATAGGGATTGCATTGAATCTGTAGATTGCTTTGGGTAGTATGGACTTCTTAATGATTAAGATTTGGGCAATTATTATCTAATCTTTTATTATCAAATTTAAAATGTCATTTCAGATTTAACACATTTTCCTAAGTAATTTCTCTCTGAAGATGACTACCTTTTTTGAAGTGGTCATTACCCACTGTATATGAAAATGGTCATATCAGAGAGCGGCAAAATATTTCACAGCCAAAGCTGGTGCTTTGAGATGGTAAAGGAAAAGCAGCAACTGGAGATAGAGTGAGGTAGATTTTGTTACTTTAGCATTCAGAATTTATGCTAGTTACTATGCCCACCATATAACCATAAGCTCACCATATAACCATAAACTGTAGAAACTTTATTTGTAATCGAAGCATAATCAGAGTTAGCAAAGATAAGTAAGCAGGAAGAGGCAAGGCAAGTTGCTCCCACCATAGATGCAGATTGTTTGGTGAAGAAGCTGTCATGTGCTCCACAGGACACCATTATTGTTCAAATAAAGAGGGAGGAATTTTGCAGCAAGGACTTTATTTCTTCATCAGTATTATAGAAGTAGTTAAGGAACAAAAGAAATTATGCATATCAACCATTGTATTTTCCAGTTTTGAATGAAAAAGCCACAAATGAGTATGGCTGCCAGTGGTACCTTTAGACCATTTGTGAAACTATATTAGTTCACTTTCTAAGAAACCCTTGGAAGCTTTTAATTGAAGTAATATCCTAGCATGTGCCATGAGGAAGTAAGGCTGAAACTAAGCCTCTGCGGATTTTTAACTGATGAAAATTTCTTTATGGAAGAACCCTGTTAAGTACTTGCCATATTTTTAAAGATATATGAAACTCATCGGACTGGGAGTATAATGCAATGGGAAATAATTTATCCTTAGCTAACAGAGTCTTTAAAATATAATGGTTATAAATATCAACAGCACATGTAAAAACATTTAAAACTGACTCTGCGATACTTATGTTTGTTGGGTTGAACACAAACATTAATTGGATAGAGAGTAAATCCTCTATTAAATATATATGCATATAGGTTTTAGTTAGATAAGATGTGCATGATATTTGTGAGATTATTTACCAGAATATATTCAAGTTCTCCATTGTTTAAGGGGTATTTACTTGGAGCCCAGAAGTGCATGTAAATTTTGAAAGTATATATTATATCAGCCAAACACCAAATTTATTTACTTAAGTTATTTTCAAATACACTTTTAATGTTAATAGGCCACATAATCACGTTAAAAAAAATGTGGTGTGGAAAATAATTGCTATCGAGATCATAATCCTTTTCTTTGGATAATATATAAAAACATTGGAAAACATTATGACCTATTAAAGGCCAAAGTAGCTAGTGATTTTGCCTTGCTCTTTTTGAATCCTCTTTCTTTATCTCCCTTAAGACAATTGACATACATCTACAAGAAGTGCCATAATGAACCTGATGGAACTGGAATAGCAGCATTAACTAGTGAGGAGCGAACTCGATGGGCTAAGGTTATAATTTACACTTTGATTTTTTTTTACTGAGGTATAATTGACATATAACATTATAATGTTTTCAGGTATACAATGTAACGATTCATTATTTCTATACATTGTAAAATCATTACCACAATAAGTCTAGCTAACTCTGTCACCATGGTTACAGATTTTTTTCTTGTGATGAGGACTTTTAAGATCTATTCTCAGCAGCTTTCAAATATGCAGTACATTATTATTAACTGTAATTTACATTTTTCTAATGAAGTTTTCTCTATTTTGAGATTTTCTTGGATATTTTATATTTAATTTGTAACATTTAAGCATTATGCTTTTGTCCTTTAGGCAAGAGAATATTTGATTAGTCTTGATCCAGAGAACTTGACTCTGCTAGAAAAAATTCAGAACAGTTTACTGGTATATTCTATAGAGGATGGCAGTCCACATGTAACACCAGAAGATTATTCTCAGGTACTTAACTATCTTGTTATGTTATTTCTTCCTACCAAATTTTCTGGAGGTCTCTTGTATATATTGAACATGAGAAAATTTTTTTATTATATGCAGGCTCTTGAAACTTTTCATACCTGTGATATATACATGTACCAAATTGAAGCTTACACATAGATAAATTATGCTTGGTAAATTCTTTCCACATTGTTTCCACATTTAGATATATCTTGTATGTTGTATAAAGAAGTGTTACTATTGTTTGTGTATGACATGTCAATGTTTTACACCCTTTTTATTGAATGCATATACAGAAAATTTGCACAGGTCACTGGGCTAAATGAGCTTCTCGTGCCAAAGGTGACATGAGAACCTACCTATAACTCACACTAGTGTGCCTTGACACCTTAGCTGGTGAGATCTAAGAATTATATTACTCTACAATTATATCAACTATAAGTAATTTTATTATTTGGTTTTATTGAACACACTGTAGTGAGTTTAAGGATGAATGTTACCTTACTTTGTTTTTGTTTTTTTTTTACCGTCTGTGATAATATTATCATTTCCTGGGAAATAATAAGAGATAGTAGTCATACTTGTAGAAGTCTCGTAGTCTTTTGAAAACACTTAAATTATTTTAGAATGCAATGTTAAATGACAGGAATAAAATAATATAGGACTGAAAAACCTTGTAGCTAAAACTAACTTTTCTTCTTCTTTAGCTGTATTTTTTTAATACAAGTATCACCAAACTTCTTGAGGAAAAATATGTTTTAATGCGGTGTTCAAACTTTTTTTACTGCAGTCTACAGTTAAACATACATTTAGATTGTATCCCGGTACACACACATATATAATAGAAGTTTCACAAAACTAATTACTTTTACTATCTGTGACATACTCTGATATTTATTTTATTCTTTCTTTTTGTAAAGAATGTTTACTGTGATGCATTAAATAATTTCATGACTCACTATGGGGCCACAACCTACCGTTTGATAAATAGGTTTAGTGGGATATGAATTCTCAAAATATTTTCCTCAAAACTAGACTTTAATAACTAAACTTATCAAGGCCTCTTACACTGTTCAACTTGCAACATGCTGTCTTTTCAATTGTATCTTCTCTAAACATCCATGAATATTCTACCAGCATTCTCTTTTATGGTAGTGTTTTCTGAGATTTTAAGAAATATCTAAAGTCAGGGCCAGAATTATTTTTACCTCTTGAGTATAACTATTATCATTTATTAAATTTGGCTAACCTGAAGAGGAAAAATGAGACTACACACACACACACACACACACACACACACACACACACACACACACACATACACACATATGTATACACATATATATATATACACATATGTGTTTAAGATGTAAATACTTATAAACCAATATTAAAATCTTTTAATTTGGAAATATTAAATTTATTTTAGTTAACTGCAATGACCCTTACTGGAGATCCAACAGTACGCTGGGGTGACAAATCCTATAACTTGATATCCTTTTCTAATGGAGTATTTGGCTGTAATTGTGATGTAAGTAAACTACTGAAATTATTTTTGCCTTTCAATCTTTTAGGTTAATTTAATGACAGTAAACTACAATACTCATGCGGTGCTGTGGTAGTATGAATAAATACTTCTTTTGTTTTATGGCATTATAATAAAAGGTTTAGTTATGAATTCTCAGTGAAAGTATTGGACAAATTATTTTCATCTGTAGTAAGGCTAATAGGTGTGTATCTGCAAAGTGGAATTTGCATATATTTTTATGTAGTATAAGCTCTTTAAAATCTACTGTTATCTGTTGGTTGAGAGTTACACCCTATTTTAAAAGAGATTGGATAACATATGTTCTATGCACAGAGACATGTATTTGGACATATTTCTAGATTTACCTAGTAATTTTATAACTATTTTCCTAAAATGACACATGATATTTGGAACATTATTTATTTACACCATGGATACTAAAATGTTTGATACTTACTACCTTCTTTTACCTTCATTAAAAAAAAACTTGTTTCTATTCTGTTCTCCTGTGGTCTTCCTCATTAGCTCTACCCTGCCATTTTCTGGTGGACATTCAAGAGGTCTATGAACCAAGAAAATTTAAAAATCAAACTAAGTGGGAGTTGCAATACATACTTGTAATCTTGTTGTAACACTTTTCATAAAGTATATAGTTGGCGTAAAGCAGTATCAGGTAGATTTTTTGTTTGTTTTTGGTAGCTTTTCTCTAAAAGCATTTAGTGACTAAAATACTAAAAAGACCTGTTACATTGATCTGGGTTCAATAGTTGTATTAATTAGTATTATTCAGTTTTAGGTAATAGAAATCCAAGTCAAACTGCCATTAGCTTAAAAAGGTATTTGTTGGCATAGGGGTGCAACTAACTTTGAGTAAGGCTGACTTCTAGTATCCAAATGCTTTCATTAGAAATTACTCTTTCCATTTTGGGGTACTACCTTTTTATGTTTGGCTTTATCTTTAGGTAGACTACCCCATAGATTAGCGTTCTCCATGGAAATAACCAGCTTCCTTCCCACATCACCCACTGCTACACACAGACAGGGTTCCAGCAAAAGTCCTGGGAATAATGCTCATTGGTTGTGATTGGCATATGTGAATCATGTGCCCATTCCAGGGTATCAGGTGCTCTGATTCACCTGGTCTGGGTTACATGCCAAACCTTGGGATCTATGGGGTAGAATCACTCTTTCAAACCACCACAGAGATATGTGGTAGTTTCCATAGTTATTATCACAGAAGAAGCCAGTAATAAAACTGGATGTCTATGAATAGTGGCTTATCAGAGTGAAAGGCTCCCATGAGTCATTTTGAAGATTTGTTATCTTTGCTCTTCCTTAGAGTGCACTGTTGACAAAATATTTCTTGTTAATTACTTCAGTTTTCTTCAGTGCCTTATTTGATTTATTTTACTTCCTCAAACTGGTTTATGTCCTCACTGTTCCTTAGAAACTATCTTTTGCAAAGTAGCTGACTGCCTTTTGCCCTCACTTTTTCTTTGACTTGTCAGCTGCAGTTCATTACCCTCTTCTTACTAATCTGACACTGTCTCTATCCTCTTAAC